TAACTGACCCTCAGGCACACACAGCTTAAAATCATTAGTCCCAAAAAGTAAAGATCCTCTATCAGAGGAAGGAACTCAAGAAAATGAAAGCCTAAAAAAAATTCTACTTAAAGGTGTTACTTATGAAATGAAGTGGTTGGGTTTTAAGCTTGGTCAGAACAACAGATAGTGATTTGCAGTGATGATCTGCAGGCAATGATATTAAAGGTTGGAAGGGTATTTACCTGAACCATTAACAGAGCAATAAATCACTTCCAAAGTTACACTTAAAGTTTTGATATATTAAGACAAAACAGTGATGAGTGAGTTAGGTAAAGTCTTAGCTTTAATGAATCATTTAAAATATACAGTATACAAACATTTAATAAAGCACACGTACCTAACCTGACCTAGGGTTTAAAAAATATATATATATATATATATATTATTTTGAAAAATAAAATCAATACTTTTTAAAAGATTCAAATCTAATTTAAATTTTAATAAAATTGAAATTTTTAATTATTTTAGAACTTGATTATTTTTAATTTTTTTATATATTATATAAAGAATTTATATTTTAAAGAATATATCTATTTTGCGTGTGTCCAATTATACAGTATAAGATTAATTTTCCTATTACGTAATATCTACAGTATATCAACTAATTATAGTAAATCGCTACGCAAAAAATCTGTTTCACGAATGTCTTCGATTAACGGAAGTTCGTATTATGACAACTATGACAAAGATCCAATCCATGTTTCAATTTCAAAAAAATGTGCAAAAGCCGTATTGAACGAAGCTGACCCTGAATTTGACCCCGATAAAAGTGAAGTTTTGGATTTTGCTTGCGGGACTGGTATTACAGTATTATGCTCTTTCTAATTTTTCGTAATTTTCTGGAAGTTCTATTTTTGTTTATTCAACATTTTTTAAAATTGAAGGATTAATATCTCAAGAGTTATGTGCTCATGTGAAATCAATCCTAGGGGTGGATATTTCACAAAATGCAGTTGATATATATAATAAGAAGGTGTGGCAACAAGGAATAGATAAGGAAGAAATGCAAGCTTTATGTCTGGAGTTAAAAGAATCTGAAGATGATCAATTAAATGGAAGAAAGTTTGATGCTATTGTGGTGAATAGAAATATTCTTTCCGTTAACTTATTTTTATCTGCTCCAAATTTTTATACTGAAAATAATAAATTTATATCTATGAAGTGTGCATCGTCTTATCATCATTTAGATAACATTGACTCCATGACCAAAATGTTATCCAACTACCTTAAACCTGGCGGCGAATTATTTGTATTAGATCTAAAGAAAGACCCGGAGATATCTCATAAATTCCACAGAACATTTAATAGTGGGCACGAACCCCATGGAGAGTGCGGATCCCATGTTAGTCACGTGCATCACAAAGGCGGCTTTGATCCTATAGAATTAGAAAGAGCCTTCAGGAACACTGGAATGATTGAAGACGTGAGAGTTAATGTAGCCTTTGAATTTACGAAATGGGTTGAGAGTGATGAGCGAAACTACACTTTTGAGTATCTAATTGTAAAGGGAAGGAGGTCCATATAAAGTGGATTGTTTTTTATCAAAAAATTTTTAATAATCGGGTGGAATGATTTTATGGCAGGCTCTTTGCATTTTGATATATATTATTTAAGATATAATTTCACATACTAGTAGCGCATTTTAATGAAAATTTTATAATATTGCGTTTAATTTTTTTTAAAGAAAGTTCAGATAAATTTCTTTATCAATTCATTATTTTTATGATTAAAAAAAAGTTTTTAACTTGCAAACATGTCTTTATTGGATAGTAAAAAAAAAAAAAATATTGCAATAATCTTTTACATAATAACTGGTTTATCTTTGTATGTTATTGATAAAGAATAAAACTAGTTAAAAATAAAATAAAATCCATTTTACTAAATCAAATTAAACAAATAAAAATCTAAGCTAAATACTCTAAGTTCAATCTAAAACAATATTTAATTACTTCTTGAATATTATACTTAGATTTCCTGTTCTAAAAATTATTAGTAATAATTAATTATTTTAAATCAATATATTATTGAATTAAATTGTATAAAGAAAAAAAATAATTTAAAATTTTTTAAAAAATATTTTATATTTATTAATTTCTTTTTAAAAAAATTTTATAATTAAAATTTAGGGGGGGTTTTTTTAACCCTCTGTTAGGCTAGTTATGTGTGCTTTATTAAACATTTGTAAACTGTATATATAATATGAATCATTAAAGCTAAAAAATACTAACTAGCTCACTCATCTTTGTAATTACTACTCTAAGTATAACTTTGGGAGTGATTTATTGCTCTATTAGGAGTTTAGGTGAAAACCCTTCCAACTCTTAATATTATTGCCTGCAGGTCATTATGGCAGATCATTCTTTGAGTTCTGATATTACTCAAAACCCAACTATCTCATCCCAAATTTAACTTCTCTTGATAAGATATCTTTTAAGTCTTTATCTTCTAATATTTCTTCCTTCAATATCAAAGTTTTCCTTTCCAATCATATGGTTTTGATACCTGGGAGGTTAGGGGATCATTTTATCTTATCCTTCTTTTGGATTCCTTGCAATCTTTTCCATTCTATTATCTTTTCACATCTTACATTCTAAACTTTCTTCTGTAACTGGTTACAAGTTATACTTTGCAACTTTTTTGATTTATCTTCTTGCTTCTTTTCTGATTTTTTTATTATTGTATTTAATATTTGTCATCTTAAGAATAAGTTTGCTTCTTATTAACTCTACAAAGAAACTTAGCATATCCTAACTAGTTGTTAAGAACTATTCTACTAACCTGGATGTTTATTTGTCTACTTCACCCATTTCTTCACTATCATTTATTATTAATCTAGTATTCTTCTCTTCTGCTTCCTTTTTTTTTTCCTGTGAAAGTTTTCTGAAATTTGTCAGAACTCCTTTAAGACCTTTATTTTATATCTTTTTTATCTGTTCCTTATATGCTAGACATTTTAGCAAGTGATTAATTGTTTCTTCCTCTTGAAGATCACATGCAATACATTTCATTTGTTTGTATAGGTCTGGTCTTCTTATCATAA